GAGAAAATGGTCAAATGCCCCCCTAATCTATTATCGGATTTCCAACTACACACTTAAACTTTACGGGGTCCTATCACCCCCTGAATTGTTTAAAATTGAAATTATCATCTCCGTAAATGCTTATATGACGAAGTGAGCGTATTTCACTATCCCTAAGAGAGTGAGCAGCGAAAATAAATATTAAAACTTTATTTTTATTTTTAGTATATATATATATATATATATTTTCCTTATTCCTCTCTTTCTTCTTCATAGAAATCTCTTCCTTCTGTGGACCAAATTTGTCCATCTCCCGTCATTTTTATGTCATTGCCGCTGCTGCTATCTTCAGCGGATGTACCATATAATTTTTGTATTCCTCTTGATTCTAATTTTTGTATGGAATTAGGAATTTTTGAAAATCAACTCTTTATCGATATTATTGGAGTTGTTAATCATCCTTGTACATGGTCAACCCACTAAGTTGATTCGGTTGACAATTTTTTATTTTGGTTCTTTGAAGCTCCAAATTAGTAATTTTAATTCAAACCAAAGAAGAATTTTGAATTTTCGATGAAATCCAGATTTGATTTTAAGAATAAAAATGTTTTTGGCTATGGCGATTGAAAACAACAATGGAGTGCTTGTTTGTACCATCAAGCGGCCTAAGATCTGCATCTCGATATGTTCACATGGTCAAGAAGTTTTTCCAAGCTGGCTTGCCAGATTCAACATTCCTCCATTGTTATGTATTCATTAACTCCAATTTGAGAAATTTGGCATATGCATTCATGGAAATGATCTTAATACCAATCAAGTAGTGGGCGAAATGACAAATGGGAATCAAAATCCTTGCCGACCTTCTCTTATTCAAGATTGTAGTGATTGGTAGACCTTTGGTGTTTATAGCAGTGGCGTAGCCAGGAATTTAATGAAGGGTGTCCAAACTTTTAATAGTAATTTTTTTTTTAAAAAAACGACGATTTAAATTACCAAAACAAATAATCAAGTTAAGCAATATTTAATTAAATATAGGAATATTTTTAATAAAATTACAAGTGTATAATTCAAAACTAACATAAAGAAAATAAACTACTATTGAAAACATAATTTAAATATATTATTACAATTGTACTCGACAAGGTTTCATATCCTGAAACGTTTTTATAATAGACTCATTAGAAATAGTACGAAATACTTTCTTTTCTACATAAGGC